AAAATCATACGTTACAAAGCCCATGGATTTGAATGAGATTTATGTGTATCTTAACTTTTTCAGAACTGAGTGTTCCTTGTTCAATGTTTACTAATTCATTTAAGAGAATCCAAAGTTCTTCATTCATATTTACTGAGTACTTATGAAATATTGAGGACACAATCTTTTCCACTGGAAAATATGAAGCAAATGAAGTTGCATGTACACATTTGCAAGTAATACAACTGTTGTTTAAAGCCGTATTGACCAATATTTGTGACATCATCAAGATGCGCGATTGCAACTCCTACACTCTTTACAATTATATAAACTTAATCAAAATGTATTTTACATTAATAACTTTAGATGGAAAGATGGATATATATTGTACATATTCATCTTATGTACAATAGAAATATAGATCTGTTTGTGAAAATCTAGTGTGTGAAACCAAGACAGCAATTCATTGAATAGCACCTAACAGCAGCAATCATATATCTATAGATCTCTATACTTTCTTTTTCAAATTTAGTTATTAATGGCTGCAGTTTTCGGCAGATCAATGTATACCTTTCACCTTTAAAATATTGTTAAGTGATAGAAATGGCTATACAACTTTTCCTCACTTCTTTCTACAGCAAGAATATCAGCCATGTATTCTGGTTGAGTTCCATCTGCTCAGAATATAACATTAAAAATTCGTTATAATTTATCATTCACTTGCTGGAAGCAGAGACATTTTATATAATATATTTAAGTAAAACTTCCAAAACTGGATACATAGCAATAGCACTTATTGCTATTTATATACTGCTTCACAGTGCTTTACAGCTCTCACTAAGCAGTTTACAGAATCAATATATTGTCCCCAACAATCCGGGTCCTCATTTTACCGACCCCAGAAGGATGGAAGGCAGAGTCAAACCTGAGCCACTCAAAATCAAACTCCTGGAGTGAGCAGTCAGTTAGCCTGCAGTATTGCATTCTTTTTTAAAAAAACAAGTTTTATTGAACATTTTCAACATTAAAAAACAAAACACAAATTTTCACTCATTACAGCGTTTTCAATATTACAGTGGTGTCAATATTATCCATAACATTCAAATTTACATAAGTTCTATTTCTATGGTTCACTATCCAATTGTTGGAAGAAATATCCTTCTGGGTTCAGCTGCAAGTGAGGAAAAAGACACTGGAAACATGGAGACTGTTTGGAAAGATGGTTTAATGATGGACAGGATCACATGGCTTGAGTTCCTGAACAGAAAAGGGCCTAGATACAGCGAGTCCCCAGGTTTTATGCTTTCTCTGGCTTTGAACTTCCTGGGGCCCAGAAAGAGTATCCTGTTTGGTTGTCAGACTCCCAGGGGGTGGGGGTCTTAGCTAGCCTTGCTGGCTGATGTAATCTTCCCAGGTGCCATGTGGTGAATTTCTGTCCTAGATGGGTCCCATTGTGTTAGTTTCTGTTGCTATTGTGTTGCAGATGGGTCCTACCCAAAGATTGAGTTTCTGCCTCTGGCCCATTAACAAAGGGGGAGAGGCAGGAAGGTGGGTGTTGCTTTGTCTTTAAAACACGTTTCTCCATTTCTCAACCAGGGAAACATAATATTCTGCCTTTTTAATATTTCCTAAAATATTTCATTCTTCTAGGAAAGGGATGGGTGCTAACTTCCTACACTATGTTATACAGTAACGGCTCTTACATACAATTATGTAACATTAATTTCGGACCTTATTAATTATAGCCTGATTATACAGTTAGGTATAGTATATCCAAATGTGTTCAAATGTTATGTATCTAGTTCTCCATAGACTCACCTGCTAACTGTTAGTTGGGGAGATCACATGAAGTAGCTAATATGACAGCGGATGACCATGATTGTTTAAGAGCAACAATTCTTGTAAGATATTTATTTTTTAAGCATTTAATTTTGCATTTTTAAGATTCATTACTTAGGGTATGTGAGCTGGCAGTTTCTGGAGAACAGCTAAGAAGCTGTAGCAATGGTTCTATTCAATGGTCAATGTTGCCCTCTACTGGTTAGTGTTGGAGAACCAGTGAGATTGCTGGATTTTATAAATCTCTTTAACCTGCTTATCATTATTTTCAGAGTTACTTTTCAAGAGAGCAAACTAAAGATGCTTCCATTAAGTACAAAATGTTTTGATCTGTTATACAAACACAATAGATCTGTGTTTACTTACTTGATTCTGGAGAAAGAAGGCTGAATGATCAGAACCAACAGATTGTTTAAGCAGACATGTACAATCAACAGTATTAGTGCTTAATAATATTGGCTACAGAATTTTTAAAAAGTTTGGCTCAATCTAACTAATCTTCCAAATTCATCTGAACCAAAGACCTTACTTAAAGCAACCCAAAATGACAAAACAGTATACAGGTGTTCAGGTTTTCCAAAACTTTTCACCAGATAAAATGGAAACATATCAAAATTAAAATGGGATAAGTGGGAATCTGCATTTAATGTTCCTTCTGCTTTGGCGCATTTCTAGGGAAGATCATGCCAAAGGTAGTTTGGTAACAGTTACAGAGGATCTTGGAGGAAGCAGATTACAGGTTATCCTCGGTTAACAATGGCAATTGGGACCAGAATTTCTGTCATTAAGCAATGCTGTTGTAAATGATGTCATATGGGTGCATTGCTTAGTAACAGCAATCCTGGCAGTTCCCATTGCTGTTGTTAACCAAATCCCTCCAGTGGTTAGGTGAGGATCCACCCTGAACGAAGCCATTTCTGGTTTGGTTCATTCCAGCTCTGAGCCTCAGTAAATTAAGGGACTGCCTCCTCTGCCTTCTCTTAAATTCCCCCTATAGGCATGAATGGAGGCCTTGGGCAGGATGCAAGACAAGTTCTAGCTGCATTGATGCAAAAGAGGATGATTGAAAAAAAGGGGGGGCGGTTCCAGACAGTACAGTAGTGGTGTGCATTGCAGTGGGTGAGTGGGTGGTAGTAGGCAGGGTTGAGCTGCAGAGTACCTGGCAGCAGTAAATAAGCAAGCAGCCCAAAGGCAGTTTTAAAGGCGGGTGGGCCCAAGTCAGCCCAAATTTTGTTCACATAACCACTCCTCTGTGGACTGTGGGAGATGACTGTAAACTCAGACTCATTCCTTATATGACCAAACAGTTGTGGTTATTTGGGATACCTGGATCTGGGGATTTTTCATCCTTTGCCCTGGTTGGTGTTGTACTTCCCCATTCAAGATTGATGCACAATCTGGGAATCACAGTGGACTCAAGCTACTGTTCAAAGTACAGATGGGAGTTGTAGCTAAAAGACCTTTGCACAGATTCACCTAGTATACCCAATTCTAGATTGGGAGGCCCTTCAGATTGTCATTCATGCTGCTGTAGTCATCTCACAAATAGACTATAAAGAATGCAATGTTCCTTAAATGGGGCTTGTGCTGATCTAAAACTGTAACAAGATGACTGATTGACTCCACATGGGCCTGCCCTTGAATACCACTTGAAGAAACTACAACTTGGTTTCCAGGTGCAATTCAAGATGGTGCTTATTATCTATACAGGCTTTTATGGCATAGGGCCTGGTTATATGAAGGTCCACCTGTTTCCAATACTTTGTACTTATTCAGTAAGATTGAGCAGAATTGGCATATTCCAAATTCCTTCAATCCCTCCCCCCACGTGCCTCATCTTTTTCTTTTTTATTTCATTGTTCTCCACTTGTTAAAATGTAAGCTGACTAGAGTCCTTTGGAGTCAAGTGGCCTCTAAATTCAGTAGAACAAACAAGCAGGCAAATAAATAAATAAAGACATTTCAGTCTTAAAATGAAATAAAATTCATTCAGTAGGGAGTGAATGTTCGACCCAAGAAATGTGGATTTAATTTAAAGTATTTTTGAAAATACAAAAACCAACTTGATATTTAAAACTCCTCCTTCCATAAGCAAAACATAGTTTTTTGATTGAATGACAAACAAAACAACAGACAATAAACATCAGAATGGGTTCAGCAGTTGCAGCTGTCTGCACTATTTTAAACTGGAAAAGCTAAATTGAAATTTATATTGCTTCTGCTATGAAGGTGACATCATAGGATGTGACTAAAAAAAAGCAATGAGACATCTTGCTGCTTTTAGCAGCACAAGAAGGTGAGCCCTATGGCTGAATAATTGGGGGAAATTCTGTTTGGTATAAGCAGTTTTCAACAATAGGAACAGATGTTTATGTTAGATGTTTATATTACATTACATCATTACTTTATGTAGAGCAGTGGTTCTCAAAATATGGACCCTTTCAAGGGATCCACAAAATCAAATAAATGTTTTCAAATTTGTCAGTTTTAATTTCTAACATTGTGAACATTTATAGATACAATTCACATAAACTAAAGCTCTTGGAGTCATGAATCATTTTTTAAGAAAGTAGAGGGTTTCTGAGACCAGTGTTTGAAAACCACTGCTCTCTTAGAGTTTAACGTCATCGGATGCATACAAATGTTTAGGTTGCTTTAATCTGGATTCTGCACTGAGCAGGGAGTTGGACAATTGTAGCCTAATGGCCCAATGATTTTATGACATTTCATTTCAGAAAACAATACTGATCGGCTTGCTTCAAAGAATAAATTATTTAAGGATAAATAAATACATGCAGCATTTTTTGCAAAGAAACAGAGGGGGAGAAAGTGGGTTGGAATGAGGGTGATACAAGTCTAGAATTTCTGTTCTTGGACAGCATTATTATTAGCAAGCGTAAATCTAAAGATTTTTGATACTAATTACCAAATTTGTCTCTTGTCATACAGCTCGTAGAAAATAGCATGTGGATTTGATGCTAATTAAATAGCCGCCATCGACCTTCGTTTAGATTTATTTTTTTAAAGTGCCCAACAAGAGCACCGATGGTTGTAGTGCAAATAGACTCCGGAACTAGCAAACCAGATTGCAAATAGTATCAGAGCCTTGATTCGAGCTGCACTGCATCGTGGGATCGAAAGAAGACTATTTGAGAAATATGCTGGGAGAACTAGAGACCGGAAGTAAGCCTCGGAAGGGTTATTATAGATGTTGCACAGCCGGTCTATGGTTGTTGCTGGTCTGGATTTCGGGCCGGTTCGAGATAAACTTGAAGGTATACATGGGGAAATGTAACCGGGAGTGCTTCCAGAGGGGATGGGAGAGCGGGAGAACGGAGGATTTTATCCGGAAGTATAAACAGCTGAAGAGACATAAAATTAACGGAGTTGGTAAAAGGGCTCAACGAACTCCTTATAGCAAGGGTGGGCAACTGTGGCCCTTTTACAACCTGTGGACTTCAACTCCCAGAATTCCTGAGACAGCCAAGCTGCCTCAGGAATTCTGGGAGTTGAAGTCCACAGGTTGTAAAAGGGCCACAGTTGCCCACCCCTGCCTTATAGGAGTAAACCTCTGGGATTGGGGAGAAGAGAATTTGGGTAATTCGTAAGGCAGTAAGTGCAACATTTTAGTTCTTTGGTTCCTTTTTCTTGAAGTCTGAAAATGGAGTAGCATTAGATGTCTACAGGATCAGCATCTTGTCCTTTACTGACAAGCTGACAGGGCGATACGGTTTTAAAGCAATGTATTATTTCTAATAAAAACAATATTATGGTCGAGCCCATGCTGTGCTTTTTAAATTGTCTTTTATAATTCCACTTAGCGCCCACCCACCCCGAAGATTAGCACATTTGTTTTTTTTAAAAAAAATCCAAAAAAAAGATCCAAAGTAATACATGAGTTTAAAGAAAAGAGATCACAATGAGGAAAATAAGAAAGTGTAAGAATTCTATTGTGTTTTATATCCACCAGCTGTAAGACTCAAAATTCAGTTTCACTGAGTTTATTGAGCCTTTTCCTCAAATAAATATACATGGACTGGTGTATTATGGTTAAAAAACAGTGAATACATCTAAAAACAATTGATGCTCACTCATTGAACTGAATTAATTCCTTTTGGAATATTACTACGGTATCATTCTTAGAGTTGCAGTAATTTATATGGATATCTTTACTGAACAGTTTATTCATTCTTAGGTACCCTTTATGTCAGTCTTGACAGAACAAAAAGATTCATTTGCATCTGTAACTCCAAAAGGTAAGATGAAAAACTTCACTATCATTTTATAAATAAAAATAGAAATAAACATTTTATTCCTCATAGAAGATGTTCAGCAAAGCAAAGTCGATGATGGTGGGGAAATTTGAAAAAGTAACTTTTCTAGTCAAGAATTAAATATTAATAATCTTTTGTCCTCTTCAGACATATGTTTTCTTTCTTTAATATTGAATACTGAAAATTTGGATGCAACTAGGTCTTTTTAGTTGACTTAATATTTATTCTTTATTATTAATTTATTATTAAGAATTCTTACATTTGTATATTAAGGCAATATTATGGTATTGCCTTAATTTAAGAATAATTCAACTAGCCAAAAACACCCATCTTTTGCATTGAAATATAAGAATTTTTCCTCATGAATTCTATTGGTCGTTCTTGCAGATATTAGTGTTTTGGCTTCTAATAATAAAGTTATTGTATCACAATTATGTAGACTTGCTTATTACATTTTGTGAACCATAGCTATCGCTGTAGATTGAGCATTATTTATAATAGCTCTTTTGAGTCTAAAATTCTCATTAGACTCAACATGCATCTGCAGAATTTGTAACAAAAAGTCTAAATTTTTGTTTGGCTATATAACACATTTGACCATTTTTATCCCTGTTTCAGAATGTCAGGATTTGATGTTTCTTTTGTTTTCATAAGGTTAGAAAGAACGGGATATCTGGACTTGGTAACAATTAGTATATGGAGGATTATTCAAAATTAGGATGCGGAAGATTAACTAAAACTACCTGTGGAAGAAAATCTGTATGTTTTGCCTGTAGTTCACACTTACGGGACCTTTTCTGCTCTGGCGCCCTCCCCTTGAGATGAGATCAGCCTCATAATTCCTGAACTTTTAAAGGTCCTTCATGACCTGATTATGCCAGCAGGCCTGCGGCCCCTGGGGGATGAGTTTCTTGTTTAATTCTGTTTTTACGGTTTTAATGTTTGTTAAAAATTATAATGATATTACATTATTATTTTATTGGATTGTTGTACGCTACCCAGAATCACTTCCTGTGAGATGGGAGGCCATATAAGTTTGATTAGTAAATAAAATAGTGCTTGGAAACTATTTCTTACATGAAACATTTTCTCAGGATCCAAATTCCAATTACCATGTACTATTTTGAATGGCAAATATATTGATGGTTAAGATTGGTATTCTTCAAATAGATATTTTGGGTACCTAACAAAATTTAATACAGAATCTAAGGCAGGGGTGAAATCCAGCAGGCTCTGACAGGTTCTGGAGAACCGGTAGCGGAAATTTTGAGCAGTTCGGAGAACCGGTAGCGGAAATTTTGAGTAGTTTGGAGAACCGGTAAATACCACCCCTGGCTGGCCCCAGAGTGGGGTGGGAATGGAGATTTAGCAATATCCTTCCCCCAGGAGTGGGGTGGGAATGGAAATTTTGCAATATCCTTCCCCCAGGAGTGGGGTGGGAATGGATATTTTGCAATATCCTTCCCCCAGGAGTGGGGTGGGAATGGAAATTTTGAAGTATCCTTCCCCTGCCACGCCCATGAAGCCACACCCACCAAGCCACACCACACCCACCAAGCCACGCCCACAGACAAGTAGTAAAAAAATTTGGATTTCACCACTGATCTAAGGTAAAGGAAGCAGTTAATTTTGCAGAGGTGTCTGCACGTCACTGGGTGTCTGGATAAGGATTATTTGCTTTCAATCTTTCCTTTTTCTAATTTTAGATAATCAGAATGACTACAGGAGCAGATGTCCGGGATATACTTGAACTGGGCGGCCCAGAATCTGAAAACATAGGAACTATTAATAAGAAAGACATCATCAATTCTGATAAGGTACAAATGGGGATGGTTGACTGAGATAAATATTCGAGAGGATAAATTTCACGTTTGGTTTTGTTCTACTTCCATTGAGTCCTTCTTAGACACACTTGAGGCTACACTTGCATGATAGTCTCCATCATGTGTTGTTTATTGCAGAGTGCGAGCTATGAAATAGTAGTCGTGCTTGCCTTACTATTATTCATTTAGTGACCATTTGAAGTTACAAAGGCACTGAAAAAAGGGACTTATGATCATTTCTCAGACAATAACAAATGGAGCATCCCCATGGTTATGTAATCAAACTTCAGATGCTTGGCATCTGGTTCATATTTATGTCCGTTGCACTGTCCTCGGGTCATGTGATCATCTTTTGTGACCTTCTGACAAGCAAAGTCAATGTGGAAGCCAGATTCACTTAATAACTATGGTAATTCACTTAAAAACTGTGGTAAAAATGTTGTAAAATGGGGCAAAACTTACTTAATTGTCTGGCTTAGCAAAAAAAAATTAGGGCTCAAGGACTACATGTGCAGAAATTATGTAGAAACAGCACAAGAAAGCAGAATTTTTCTTTAACCATGTAGTACTGTATTGTTATTTGAGATCTTGCCAGCATGATTTTCTCTTGGAGGAATCTTGGTACTTCTGTTCTTGACGAGCTCTAAAAGACAATATAAAAATGAAATGCAATTTTTGTTTTGGTGCGTTTATAAAAATTGACAGTTTTAGCCTTTCAATTCTAATATCCTCATGTATTGGCCTCTGATTGATTTATCAGTCTGGATTAAATATTTTATACTGCTTTTTTTCATAAAGTCTGCATTTTTTTCCACATCATAATTTTAGAACACTTGTGTAATTAAATACACTTCCCAGTGTATCATTTGTATATTTATCTCCCATTTTGTCTTTGTAGCTTTGCTTATCTTATTGGGCAATAAGGGAACAAAGCTACACAGCACAATGAAAGGAATGGATAAGAATATTAGAATGAGAAGGAATTTGATTGGTCTGTTTGTTCGTCAGTTAGCTGCATCTAGAATTTACACTAACTCCCTGCATCCTTGTATTCTACTTTTTAAGAAATAAAAATGAAATGGGAAATACAGGCTTTGAGAACTTGGAATATCAGAACATTATTTAAGAATATTACAGGCATAAGAAGAAAATAGATATTATTGTAAGAAGTCAAAAGGCAGAATAACCAACCTGCTTCTAGTAATTGACATTAATGCTCCACAAAGGATTTAAATAAATATTTTTTTATTTCAGAAAAAATCCAAGAAATCATCAGAAACCCTAACATTTAAGAGACCAGAAGGAATGCACCGAGAGGTCTATGCACTGTTGTATTCTGATAAAAAGTAAATGTTTTGCTATACATTTGCTGTACCTAAGTATACATTCAGTCCACTTCCCATCTTTCTATCCTATGCACGTATGAGATGATTAACTGTTAGGACTGCTCCCTTTACATTTAACATTCTTTTCTTTCTGTTACATTAAATGTTACAATTCAACAACAATTTTTGAAGAGACTCTGGGGCTTGGTGGGGAACAGCTGTGCCTTTTTGAACTAGATGTAGGGAGAAATTCATATGTAACATCTCCATAACCAACAATTCTATACTCATTTGATGTGATCAAGGAAATTTGGAGTTTGTTTCTGAGATGTCCTATAGGAAGAACAGTTGAAATGTATGCATGCAAAGTGGTAGTTTTTTTGTAAAAATGTAAATATTGTTTATATTTTTTTGGCATTTAAGTTTTCTAAGAGCAAAGCTCTTATGAAAATAATGCTGAACAACATTGTATTTTAATATTGATTATATTGACCTCATGGGTAATATAACTATTCAATACTTAACTTTAGTCAAGAGCAAATCACCTAAATATTATGCTTTTTTTATTTTATGAAAGAGGACATGATTTCTAAGAATGGTAAACTATTGTAATTTTGCAAGAACTAATCTCTCAAAAACATTTGTAGATCTTTTACATATAATTTTGTCCTAATCAAGAAGATATCCCTGAAGAAGAAACATGAAGTGTACCTCTTTCTAATTCAGAAGGACTATATTGGACTTGCTTGTCCTATACTGTGAATTTGGACTCTGCTAAGCTGTTACAGAGAGTCAACTTGATATAGTGGTTAAAAACACCAGGCAAGAAACAGAAGCTTGAGAGTTCTAAGCCACCTTTAAGTAACTGGGTGACTTTAGACAAACTCTCTTTTTCTCTCTCAGCCCTAGGAAGAAGGCAGTGGCAAATTACTTCTGAAAATACTACCAAGAAAACCATAGGAATTTATCCAGACATATACCAGGATTCAAAACTGACTCAAAGGCAGAACAAAAACCATAGCATCATAATATAAATATATAAAATAAAATGGGAATGAATTGTTAGGGTATAATAAAAGCAAATAATACAATCAGGTCACTTAAACTCATTCCTATAAATAGCATTGTTATATAGCTTTTTTCTCACATCTTTATCCTCCCCATTTTTGTTTTCTTATGTCATATCATATTTTCTTATAACACAGATAAATGTCAACTATATGAGTGGAATCATCAAGACTATTCAGATAAAAATATTCGTCTAAACTCTAACACCTTCAGGACTTAATAATAAATTACTTCCCAATTCACCTAACTACAGTTTTGTACAGGTTATATAAAATAATGTGAAGGTCTGCATGGCTGTCTTGTCTTCAAGCTGTTTTTAAAGCTTTCTTCCGAAAATATGGATTGGGCAATACATTGAACCTTATGCTAACAATTGGTTTGGTTTAGGCCTTGTATTTTTCTTTCAGGGATGCACCCCCACTTTTGCCAAGTGACACAACACAAGGTTATCGTACAGTGAAGGCAAAACTTGGTTCCAAGAAAGTGAGACCTTGGAAGTGGATGCCATTCACAAACCCTGCTAGAAAGGATGGCGCAATGTTCTACCACTGGAGAAGAGCGGCTGAAGAGGGCAAGGATTACCCTTTTGCGAGATTCAACAAAGTATGGAGGCTTAATAAGAGTTATATTGTATATGTAAGATTGGTGTGCTTAATAGAATTGCATAAAAATCTTTAAAAATTGGTTCCCAATACTCTTTTACTTGCAATGTCTAGTGCTAACTCCCACATCAGTTTTTAGTGATCTACTGTAATGTACATGGCTGCTGTGTACATTTGTTCCCGCATATGCTCCACCTCATCTTTTTGTCTTTGAATCTGAGGCATTGCTTAGCCAGCTTGTTCAAGTTCAGTCAAAATGATGACTGAATTTAGCAACTATAAAAAATGTTGGAGAGATGTAAAAAGGATATTTTGAGGAACTTTTGTTTTTGGAAGAATTGGATTTGTATCATGAATTTCTGTTACATGCCTCAAGATATCCTCTGCTTGATGGAACTATTATGTGCAAGATTAAGAAGAACCTATTGTGTGAATAGTCTTTTCTCTTTTTGGATAGACAGTACAAGTTCCAGTCTATTCAGAGCAAGAGTATCAAATGTACCTTCATGATGATGCTTGGACAAAAGCCGAAACAGACCACCTATTTGACTTATCACGACGTTTTGACCTCCGTTTTGTGGTCATTCATGACCGCTATGATCACCAGCAGTTCAAAGTAAGCCTCTAATCTCATTCAGTCATTGTAACATGTAAGTGCTGCTTGTAAAAAGATGAAACAGGATGAATTTGCTAGCTCCACTTCTTTTATCTTACTGTTCTCATTGTCATTCATCTGGGATAACTGTATACCCAGGAGAGTTTTAGTTTTAGAAAGACACTTTCTAAAACACTTGTTGATGTTTTAATCGGTCTCTAGATTTAACGGGGGGTGGGGGAGGCCATTTTTGCCCTCCCGAGGCTCCAAGAAAGCCTCTGGAGCCTGGGGAGGGCGAAAAATAGGTGTACTGGGGTCACTGGTAACCTCTTTGTCGACATGCCAAAAGCGGGGGAGCACAGGGGTTGCGTTCGCATGTGTGTGGGGAGGGCGTGGGGGCATGGAATTATGGCTGTGGCACGCATGCGTGTGACCCCCCTGTGCTCCCCCCACTTTTGGCATGCGATGGCAAAAAGGTTAGCCATCACTGGTAAAAGGGCTAATATGAGATTTGAATGCTTTTTGTTTCTTTATTTGCAGGTAAAAACAAAAAACAACAGTTATGAAATATGAAACTATCAGATATTAGCATGTGCCGCAAACCCAGCACATAATTATTATTTTTTTTTCAATTTGATTTATATGCCGCCCTTCTCCGAAGACTCAGGGCGGCTTACAATGTGCTCAGCAAATTGCAGAAAATGTGTTGTCTAACTTACACAAACACCTTAGGGCACTTCATAATTAGGCCCATCTTAACTGAATGGTCATGGAGAATATTAGATAAAGTGATGCATCAACAAGAGTTGCCCAGATTAGATAATTTTGGAGAATGATTGTTTAATCAAATATGGAAGCCTCAGCAGATTCATATTCTTGTTTCTGTCCTTGTTATAGGTGTTCAATATTTTTCTTAATGGAAGATATATCTAAGAACAAATGATAACTGATAAAGATGTTTGTAAGGGTACATTTTTAATAACATTGAACATTGGAAAGAATATGTACCACCTCTTCTTTTCACCATTAAATTAATGATATTCATATTCTACATAAGGATCATATGTAACTTTATACTACAAACCAGTAAATCTTATTTTCATAACGTATCGGTGGTAGTTGTAGTCATATAACAAATATATATGTTCCTTTATCCCTAATCTCTTAATCACTTCTATTTTTAACCCTTGTTCTGAACTTAGAAACGGTCAGTAGAAGACCTAAAGGAGCGTTATTATCATATCTGTGCAAAGTTAGCCAATATTCGTGCAGCTCCAGGTACAGACCTGAAAATCCCTGTCTTTGATGCTGGCCATGAGAGGCGCCGGAAGGAACAATTAGAAAGGCTGTACAACCGAACACCAGAACAGGTAATGAAGTAGTGCCAGAGCAGTAGCAATGGCCAATGGTTGTTGGTTCTATCATCCTTTGAAATCATTAACATGATTCCTCTTGATGATAATTAGTAACATTATATAATGCACTTCCATTGTTTGAAGATCAGTAATGGTTATGTGGATATGAACATACTTTGTTTAAAAATGCTACTCAGTGTTTGTTTGAGAAGGTTACTGAATAGTGTGCTACTTAATGAGAATCTACTTATTAATTTTGGATAATTTTCTCATTAACAAATGAACATTTGCATAATTATGCAGTTATTAAGCACTGCCACCTTATTTTATTTTGGAAATATATTTTTGTTAAGAGGTTTAGACATGAGGCAACAGTTGATTGATCTGGTATAAGGGCATCAAATGTGTATATATTATGATCAAGAATATAGATAAGAGAACTTAGGGAAGGTGATAGGTCATTGAACCATGGCATATAGTGCTGCAGGATCTGCAACTTGAAAGACTTCCTAGACCTTTAAATGTTCCATGGAAAGGAATCCAAAGTCTAAAGCATCCTAAGTATGTGAACCTGTAGGTGGTGAAATGTGGCCAATACATGTTAATTTGCAAAACTTGCAATTAGGATATCTAATCTTTGGATTCGATATCCTACTTTGCGTAGAATAGTGGTCGTGTGCTTTGGTTAAAACTGTGCTTTAGTTGCACTTGTGGCATACTGGCCAGAAGGTGTCCAAACAGATTAATATGGTTCTTAACATTAGCAGGAAATACTGCTTGAGGTCTCAAGGAAGTAAGCATTTGGGTTAGTGGAATATTAAGAGGTAATAATGAGTAGTGCAAATGTGAATGTCTAATGTGTAAGTGAAGGGAAAGTATGGTTTTTTAAAGGCTCTTTTAACAGGTAACAATAAGTTCACCTATATACTGTTCAGCATTCAAACTCATGGCGTCATGGCGGCGTCACATGACGTATCGGGACTTTTTCCCCTTCACTAAACCAGGCGGGGCAGGGCCAGCACATGGCATATCTGGCCTGCAGGCCACGAGTTTGACATCCCTGAGCTAGATGATGGAAATTCTTCCTAATTTTTTAAAATCAACCATTAGAAGGGACTTTTAGAGAAAGAGAACAATGATGGAAACAGCCCACTTCTGAGCCCTTGTCAGATTATAGAGAGACAGGAAGTGGAGATAGTTAAACTCATGAAACCTGGTTGGTTGGGTAAATAAATGCCACAGGATGCAGTCTCTCAAATAACCAGGTTCAGAGAGATATATCGTCTTAAAGATTACAACTAGCACCTTACGTTGTACCCAGAAGCCCATTGGTAATCAGTGGAACTTCTAAAGCATAAGAGCTATGCAAATATATTGGAGCATTTTGACCATTCCCCAACCTTCAACATTCTGTATCCAGCTGTAACTTCCAGGTCTTCTTCAGAAGCCACCCCATGTGGAGCACATTACAATAGTCCAACAGGGAAGTGATCATGAGCAAGGGTTCCCCATGAGAAGGATTACAAATGATGGACCAGATGGAAAAGGAGGGCAGAAGCCCTCCTAGTCATATTTACCATCTGATTTTTAAGCAGGAGCTGTGAGTCTATAGGAACTCACAAATTTTAGACAATTTCTGAATGGGAAATATAATCCTATTTAGAGATAAAGAGATGTAGGCTCATAAACCTGAAGCCATTCTGTTAAATCTGTTCCTTCCCATGTAGACCCTGATAATCACCAGGTACTGGGTCAGCAATTCTACCACATTTCTTGTCCAGCTGTGAAGTGGCAGAATTAATACTGCAGAGGGCCCTTTCCACTTCCGCAGGATTCACAGACTCAAATTGTATCAGAAGAGAAAACCCTCATCATCTTAATGCTGTCCATTAAGTTCTACTCCTAAATTTAACTGATCTGTCCACTAAATGCCATGAAATTGCTCATAGCAGCATTTCAAGTGATCCAGGTAAACATCCTTCCCTAAAAGGAAATTAGTTGTTCTACAAACGGGGAGGCATTCAGCCAGTAAAATAAGATAGGAAAAGTATTATTGTTTTGTTTTTTTGGGGGGGGGGGAGGGGTGTTCTCCACCCGAATTGCCACTATGGACTTAATCATCTCAAACTTTCTCCCTTTGGAGTTTTCGTATCTCCCTGTCATTTCATTTTCTGGATGCCTCAGAAAATCAAGGAACAGGAGCAAACATATGCACATCCAGTTCAGTCCAGGCATCTTATTATTTCAATTGGTAACCTTTGTTGAATTGCGTACTGCACTTCTAAGAGTTCTCTGAAAACCTGTGGAATCCATTAGGTATCTGGGGTAGTATCTAATGATCCCTTCTCCTCTGTAGAGGAGAGGTTATTATATCAAATTTTGTGGCAGTCAGAAAGTCATCTGTCCATAAAGGATTAAACTTCAATACTCTCCAGTTTCAGATCATATTGTGTCCATCCTGAGGCAAAAAACAAAACTAGTGACCTTTAATGTATGGCCATGGTGAGCTTCATGTTACAAGAGCAAAGTGGCAGCAAAATAGTCTCCCCCAAAGAGTCTGCAATGACAAGGACTAAGTGTAAAGTGGAGGACCATTCCCGCCATTTTCTGGAGAGCCCCATGGCAGGAAGAACAGTCACAAGCAGGTTAATCCCTCACTGGATTGCCCTATCCCTTACCTGCTCTGGAACCAGTTAATTTTGCTAACAATCCTAATTGGAAAAAGTATCTAGAAATTTGTATGCAAATAAAAGTGATATATCAAGGAGTTAAATTAAAGCAAATCCTGTAGAGGTTAATCTATAAGAAAGAAAGGACAAAGAAGTCATCAATTCTGTGAAAATGTTGTATGTTAAAATGTGGGTACAGTTTCCTTATCTAGTTGGTGCGTGAGCCTTGTTTAATATATACATGTGAGGACTGCCTGACACTTGGGAGAGTGCTGTTATTGTTTACTTATACAAAGAAAAACAAAGCAAGAGTACAAAAGCTACCTGTGGATTAGTGCGCTTGAGAAGATATTTGGCAGGATTCTGATCAAAAAAGTAGAAGAGACAACATGACCAAAATTTGGCAACTGCTTTACCCTAGGCAAGTCACTGAACATTCTAAGCTGTAAAGTTGAAAGTCTTGAATTATGAAAAGTATTGTAATATTGCAGAGTAGAAAGTTGGTTCACCAATGCAATAAGGGCAATATTTGGTGGAAATCATGCATTAGAATAAATAGAACACTTATCAAATTATTCTTTGAGCAGAATAAGACAAAATGTATGGTGTCTCCTTGGTGTTCAGTATATTTATGGAAAAAGTATAAGGAGTGCTTTTCATGATGATAGAGGTATGTTGCTTGGAGGTTTCAGTGTGTGTGCATGTGTAATACTTTTCTATGTACAGAATGCCATGTTGGCTAGAAACTTGAATGATTTGCAGTAAATGTTTGATAGACTATATGATGCAACAAGGAGGGTGGATCTGAAAATGTAGCAACAATTAAGATAGTTTACATACTACAACAAGGGCATGAGTTGTGGATCCTGATAGAATGCTTACTGAAGATAAAAAAATGGATTAAGAAATTTTAACATGTTTGCTCATAGTCATGTTTTTTTATTGTGGCAGCATATATCTAGCTAGCTTGATTGACTGACTGACTAAGAGACAGACAGACACATATTCCATGGAAAATCATAGGACAGGGGATCCTAATCTAGATATAAAATTGTTGCCATTAGGTGGCTCTCCAGTATAGCTTTACTCATCATGTAATCCTGCTGCATTACCTCTTTTTTATTTGTAGGTGGCAGAAGAAGAATATCTAATCCAGGAGTTGCGGAAAATTGAAGCTAGGAAGAAAGAGAGGGAGAAGCGGACACAAGATTTGCAAAAACTCATTACAGCTGCTGACACAACCACTGAACAAAGACGTGCAGAGCGCAAGGCACCTAAGAAAAAGCTGCCACAGAAAAAGGAGACCGAGAAACCTGTAAACATCTTATACTTTCCTTGCTCATTTTCTTATGATGCTTTCTTACTATTTCAGTGCCAGGAATGGTTAGTTGTCTGTATAAGTTTTGCTTGGGCGATTTATTTTGTTTCTTTTCAGTCCTTAATATCTCTTGAAGCAGTCATACAGGAAGCTGCAGTATGGCCCCGGTTAGGATGGGAGGAAAAGAACTGAAATTGCTAGGCTGGAAAAGAGATAAAGTGGGCTTAAGACAAACCCTCTCAAGGGGCATTGTGAATACACAGTCAGGAAGTAGCTCTCCACTGTGTCATTCTGCACAACAAACATGGTCAGTGAAAAATGTCAATTTTAAGCTGTAAGTGTGAATACTAAAGTTGGATGGAGCAGTCTATTTACAATTGCATTTGATCATTGATTTCAGTTTCTTCCTTTCCTGTTTCCAAAAATTAATATACAAATGCCTGTTTAACATTGGAATGTATTTTCTTTTAAAGTAATAAACACGCATAACATATTTTACATAAATACAAACATTTCTTTTAAATAAGTTAATATTGAAATATAGGCAAGGCACCAACTCATATAAATAAGTAGTGATTATGCAGAGAGAAAAAAACATTATAGTAATTCAAATAAACTAAACATAAAAAATGGAAAAAAGCTAATTTAACAAAAGGAAAGAAAAAGATCCATTTAATATTAATATAAAATTAATTACATCCTTAAACTTAATATTAAATCTCGACCTTAATGTACTTTTAAAGATGATTTCTCTTAAAATGTGCATGATAAAAGTAGGAAATCCAGAAGATTTGTTCTTTTTTTATTTATAATATAAAATACAAAAAATACAAAAACAAACAGTAGGAAAAATAGGGGAGGGAATGGGGAAGGAACGTGCAAAAAAGAAGGAAAAAGAAAGAAAAGGCATTGCCTCCCGATTCCCTTTGGTGCAGTAAAATAAGAAAATAAGACATCAAACCTCAATTTTTTACTTTTACATAGTAGTATAAACTAGCTATTTCTATATCAACAAATCTAATCAGTAAAACCGAAAATCAAAGTTTAATTTTTTTCCACCTGAAGCACAAAGTCCAGAAACAATTTCCAAGTAGAAACAAAAGTAATTGTGTTTTTGTCTTTAATCAAAGCAGTCAGTTTAGCCATCTCTGCTAACTCCATCAATTTTTGCAACCATTCTTCCATTGTGGGGATCAAAGTGTCCTTCCATTTTTGTGTATAACGTAATCTTGCTGCCATCAACATATATAACAAGATTGAATAACTTTGACCTTGAGTGCCTGCTTAACACTTTTTACCTATCACTCTTGAATATCTCACTTATAATCTTAAAATGGTGGTTAGGTTTTTTTTAAATAGTGTGGAATGGCAATGTGCCATATAATTTGGAAAATATTCTTCCTTTCAGTGATTAAGATGGGACCTCAGCACAAATTTCATATGAAAATGCATTATTTTGTGTGAGCAAGACTGGCTTTGTATCTGTAAATCCATAGGGTAGTCTAAGATTTAAGGTCTCGAAAATTTGAAATCTGTGGCTTCAGTTTCTCTTTGCTTCTTAGTCATCAATCCCTGACTAGACAGGCTATTCTATTCTAGTACATGTAGAATTAAGTAGCCATTCAACTTGCTTTAGGTATATCTGGCTGCTTCCCACAGTATTGCCTGGGGTCCTTATGCCTGCATGGAAGTAAACACCTCAGGTTTCCTAAAGGCAGTTTATGTTGTGGCAGAAGTGCTGTTTCAACCATGACAGAGTCCATTAGGAGTAAATTATCAACTGTAGCAGGAAACTGCTTTTTCTTTTTTCTTTTTAAATTGCATTTTAACTAACAATTTGAATTGAGGGCTGTATCAGCATCATCTTAACAAAGGGAAGTCATTTACCAAAGAGTCAATTGAGGTTGAAGCTTTTACAGCTCATGCTTGCATGTGAGGTACAGCAACTTATTTAATTGCTCTGATGTGGCAAAAGCAGGTTGTGCAGTGGGGAGGGGGTGAACTTGCCCTATAGTTTGGTTATGGATTCAGTGGAAAATTGTTGAGGGGAAAATAGTAAGAATTACCCTAAAACTATTCTGAGATTATCTCAAACCCAAAATCAGGGCTTTTAAAAAAGAAGTTTAGATGCTCCACAGTGCTTAGTATACAGGATCTAACATGCATGGCAGGTGATTTGATATTTGTTATTTTTATAATGCATTGTGTTGGCTTTGACTGCAAATTGTCCTGGGTGTGAAATTTAATTAATTAACACTAACATATTTTGCCCTACTGATACAGGTTCAGGTATTAAAAGGGATTCATTTAGCTACTCTCCAGTATTCAGCAAGGACAGAATAATTGGTTTGCTGTTACTGAGGCAGGTTTTCTGCATAGAAAATGAGGTTTTTCTTTGCTTGCAGCTTGAGTAAATTGAATTGGATGTGTTTAGTAGCATAGGTTTTGTCCAGATACGAAGTAAGAATGTCGGAACATGATATCAGGAAAATCTCTTGTGTGTTTCATTCCCTTGACCATTGGATGTGTCTTCAGTGGTTACTTGATTTTGGCAAATATATGAACCAACTCATGCATAGTTCACACACCTTCTAAGACAGGTGTTCAGAAGGAGTAAAAAAAAGATCAAGAGCTGATAATAGTTTTTCTTCTGAAGAAACGTATATGACGTTTCTAGATCACTCCCATTTTCTAGTTAGCTATGAGGGTTTGTGGAGGCGGGGATTGTCTTTCTTTTTCCAATAAGCAAGTCTGTAGTATTTGATAGCTTTTCTGTCCTTAATACCGTTGAGCAGTTTCTAAGTAAAAAAAATTGGATCACCCAGCTGTGAAGAAAGTGGATAAGATCCATCAGCCCATTGAAACAGCACCATATTTTTCTTTCTGATTCCATTCAGATGTAATAGGGTTTTTCCAAGAAGTCATCGTTTGTTAAAATGTGAATGAGCAATGTGATTGTGCACTCTTATCTTGTGCACTTTTTGCAGTAGAAGCTCTGCAGTTTCTTTTTTATCACTTCTGAAGTTCAAAATAAAGGTTTATTTTATAAAGGTTTTGGCTATAGATTTAGTTTCTAGATCTAGTTTCTAGTTCTAGTTCTGATCAATAGAAGATAGTTAAATGGCATAGTTTCCACATGCAGAAATTAAAGACAAAATGTGGCTTAAGGATCATGGTCCTGGCATAGGCTAAAGAAAAAGGTTTGCAAAGACAAGAGTATTTACCATCATTATTAATATTTGGACCCTAGTTTGTTGGAATGCCCCATTATGTCAGAGTAGAATTAAAGATGGTAACATTAAAGATGGTAAAGATATAATCTAGATGGTTAGCAAATGAACTGAATATATCCCTATTTTGTAGCTTTAAAAATCATATTTGATATACACGAAAGCCTGGATATATCTCAATGATGAAAATTCCATGGCTATCTTAGCAGATGTAGAATTTCAGAATAAAAAAGAATGTGTGATAGAGCCTCTTCCGTTGAATTTATTTTTCTATGTTAGGGATTCACCCCCACCCACATATATTTTTAAAATTGTAATTTACTTATGTAAGAATTTATGACATTGAAACATTTGTGAGTCTAAAGTGTTTAAACAGCAGATAAATTATATTTTTAGCTTATTATGGGGAATATATGGCTAGAAGAGAAATATTTTTTGTGAAAAATGTGAGGAATAATGAGTTGAGTAAAAAGTATAAGGAGAGAGCAAAGATTAAGTTGAATGTTTGGTGCAAATAATACAGAAATTAAATGGTAACAGGATAACACAGATGTAGATACTGGTTTTCTGGAGGTTGGAAAATTCATGCTTTCCTGTATAACAGATGTTATGCATATTTTTCTTAGTTTACACAATTATGTACATCACACTTTTGAGTTATTATTTGCTTGGGAAACACTGAAAAGATAATCATAGGAATGAGGCAAAAAGTTTTACCATGAAGGTTGATATGGGATTTGACAATGAGTCTTCTAGTTAGGAATGGAAGTAAAAAGATGCCCAAATCAAAACATTTTGAAATAATATATTTAATTCCCTAAATAAATAATATTTGAAGATCTTTGGGCCCAGATATGACTTTTAAAGGCCTGGTTAATGAGAGACCTGGTGGATTTTAGTTTATAGGAATAGTGCTGTCTTTAATATAAACAAAACCCCCTTAGGGATGGATTCAGATGTTTTGCCTTATCTGGTAGATGTTGGGTAGTTTTGAGCAAGTAAAGAAAGGGCATATTAAAGAAAGAGCAATTAAAGAAAGCATCCCACACAAGTAAAATATTTTTTGAAAAAATATATCCTATTTTATGAAAATATCTGTAATAGTCATTCTAAAAATAATTTTCCGATTCAGTTCAATAAAAAATAGTTTCTTCTGTTAATTTTTAAGCATGCTGCATGTTTGTTTTGTTACATGATTTTAATTCTACTAAGAAAGTATATCACACTTTCCAATTATATTTTCTTTCTACTGATGCAGTCCAAAAAGTGTTAGGTTCATAATGTCACAGCTAGACAGCTCCATAGGGCTTAGTTTTAGTCTATGTGAGAGAATTCTGCAGTGAAATGTATCTGCTTTATCTTGTTGAAAAGCCAATTCTAGATACATTTATGTGGGAATAAGCCCTAGTATACCTAAGTATGATACTTGATCCAAGTCCAAGAGTTCACATATTTTGAGCTTTTGTTAAGGGATATTTCTGTTTATGCATCATAAGGAATACTTCTATTAGTTGTATGCATCATTCTCACTTTCATTTCTAATGTTTTTGAGGAACATTTATTAAATATTTAAGGAATGAATGTCTAACATCATTATCAAATTCAGAAGTAAATATAGTGTAGAAATGTAGTTGGAACTACATAGATGCCATGTATCACTATTTGAATGAACTGAATATAATCAGATTTCATTGTTATATCTCATTCTCACTTGCTGTGAATAATTTTGAATAGGTACTATGTATAGATACTATACTTGTATTAGATACTGTAGATTGCTGTTATCTTAATGTACTAAAGCCATACTATTACAATTTCAATTATATTTAGAAAAGTAGATAGGCTTAGAAGCAGTATGGTAAATGAATAGTCCTATCCATCACATCCTTCCAGTTATTCTCGGAAGGATTTTCATCTGACTTCAAATTTATCTCTGACAGGTGTTTTTATAGGAAGAAACTCTGGTTTTTGCCTTACCGTCACACTTTACCTTGAATTGTCTTTCTGTTTTAGGCTGTCCCTGAAACAGCTGGCATCAAGTTTCCAGATTTCAAGTCTGCTGGTGTTACGCTGAGGAGTCAAAGGGTAAGTTAATGTGCTAGTTTTTCGGATCTAAAGGGGTACCTGCTTCCCCTTTTTCATTTCTTGTTCCTTTCCTGTTAATGAATTAGTGGAGCATGAACTGCAATACTGTAGTAAAATAGCTTCAACTAATTTTTGGAATATAGACCTTGTAACTTTTGAACCTGTCTCTTTCCTCTTAAGTGCAGGTAAGTAATTTGGGGTGTGTGTGTGTCAAGAGATGTAATTTAGTTTATTTATTTTTTTCTTGGAGTGCTACTTCATGACATAATTAATGCTTTTGAGGGCTTCTTAAGTGATGAAATGGGTCTATTAAATCTTAGGGGCTTTAAATAACCTTTTTGTGCTCCCCCTCCCATTGCAGGCTGTTGCACTGTAGAAAATCAGTAGTACAGGTAATCCTCGACAAGGGGAATGAAGCTTGGCCATTATAGTCATAAATTGCACAGCTGTCAGGTGAAGTACCCATCTGATCACCTCACTTAATGAACCCCATCCCTTTCTCCCCAGTGTGGTCATAAAGTGGAGCAAGAGTACTTCAGGGGCCCCAGGGAAGCCTCTGGGAGGCCTAGCTCAGTCCCTGCCCTGAGCCTTTCAAGGCGTCCCCCATTCCCTGAGGAACTCCATGCTCTGCTTCTCGCCTCTTGGAGTCTTCTTAGGCTTTGGGCCTGCTTTGCCAGCTGGATGCCAAATACTCCTCCCCTTCTCGGCCGCCCACCCCATCACCAATCACTCACTTACCTTTTGCTACATATCTGGAAGTTCTGAAGATCACATTAGGGAAGAAGAACAAACTGCTTCATCCTTAGGCCACGTGGTCTGATTTTGGAAGTGAGCACCATTTTCGAAGTGGCGTAACTCCTCCCCTTAACTTCACGGTGGAGTTGTCAAGGGTATAGCTTTGTTGTGGGCTATGTTTCCAAAGCTTTAAGGGCGGTTGTGTATGATTTGTTTTAAAATGTCAGGTTGGGAAATATATGGAATTTAATATTTAAAATGAGATTAATCAGAGCAATTCTTAATCATGATTTGGAATGCTATTTGTGTGTGGCCAAATTGTTTGCTGTTGCAGAAGGTAAAAGGATCTGGTTTAGTTTTGGAGTCATAAGAGTTCACAACATATCAAGAATTGCTATGAATATGAATATTAGACTCAATGATCTGTTATTTTTTTAATATTATTTTAATCAGAAAGTTAAAATGCAAGCTCAAAAAAAGGAAATTTTACAAAAAATAAAACACTATTAGACAAACATTTAAAGAAAAAAAAGAAATTGTGCATTAAAAATAAATTAAAAATATGTGAGCTAAGAAGGATCAGCCTAATATATCTGGGGTTCAGGTAAAGCCAACAGCTTTCCCCTCTCACAATGGGCATTCAACAAGAGGAAGTAAGTGACATTGCATGTGTCACAACATCATGAACCGCCTACCACGGTTCATATATGTAGCCTAATTTAGATGTCATGGGATGCCTCAGTGGTGAAATGTAAAATTTGTTACTACCGGTTCTGTGGGCGTGGTTTCGAGGGTTAATATGACTGAGTGGGCGTGGCCAACTTTTTTTTTTTTTACTTTTAAAACCATTTTTTCTACAACCACTTCGGATGAAGAGGTTGTAAAAAATGCTTTTAAAGCCTCTGACGATCCCAGCTGACTTGCCTGATCGGCAGAGGCTTTTTTCCCTTTAAAAACACTTTTTCTGTAACTTCTTCGGCTGAAGAGGTTGTAGAAAAAATGCTTTTAAAAGCCTCTGATGATCCCAGCTGAGCCATGCGATCATCAGAGGCTTTTTTTTACTTTTAAAAGCATTTTTTTTGGCCAAAGAGGTTGTAGAAAAAATGCTTTTAAAAATTAAAAAAAGCCTCTGATGATTGCTCGTCTCAGCTGGGCAATTGGGGGGGGGGTAGGGATTTTTGCTACCGGTTCTCTGAACCACCCACCTCCATCGCTACCGGATCAGGCGATCCGGTCCGAACCGGGAGCATTTCACCCCTGGGATGCCTTCAGTTCTCATGATCAGTGTATAATGTTGCAAGGATTGATTAGTCCAAGTGGATGGCAATCTTAGGACATTTACTAATAAGGTTCTCCTTCTGAACTGAAATTGAAACTAACATTTTGTTATCCTAATTTGATTACAACTTTCTGGTAAATTCATTTACAGTCAACTTTGGGCCTGCTTAGAATTTTGAAACAATATTGTTGGTTTTCTAACAGAAAAGTTTCTATGAAGTGAAGAAGTCCACATATCTTAAAGTTGCCAACATTGAAAAACATTGCTCTTAGGCTTTATCTGACTGGCAAGATTTAGAAATAATGTAGAGTGGAACACATTCAAAGGTAGATAGATATGGAAGCTCTGGAGAACAATTGGGGGGATTTGTTAATTGTCTGGATTAAATCCTCTTTAAATTCATATTCCATCTTTCCATTTAATGCAGTAGAGAAATCAGCATGAGGTGTGTTTCTTAAGAAGGAGGAACATTTTTAAAAACTGCCTAGGCTTCCTGCCCCTCCATCGTGTTTTCTACTTTTTGGGCTCATGATGATCATAGAAATTAATAGGTATATTTACTATAAAACACAGCATATTTTATACAACTATGGTGCACTCTCGCAGAACACTCCCCTAATAAGATCAGCACAGATATTGAAATATTTCTTATGTGCAGAGCTTAATTCAGATTTGGTGAAATTACACCTGTCAAGGATCTTCTGTTTTGGAGAAATGCATGCTAGTCTCACTTCCAGGGCGACAGTGATATTATAATGCAGACATTTTATTTGTGGTGGAAATGTGCTGCCTAAAGAAATTTGAAGAGATATGAGTACTTTTAGCTGCAGCCAATTTCTAATTAAAATTTAACTGCTGCCTTTGATTGTTAAAAGACAAAATTTGGGTGCTATTTCTGTGTAGAGTACTTACATTTTCCCTTTAGGCACTTTGTCTTTTATTTCTCTTTGCGATAGTAAGATATAGCAGCCGTCTTGTAAAATGTTTTATATAACTTCCAGATGCCTGTGTGCCAACTTTGGTCATTTTTTTTTTAAATGCAAAATTTACTTAAAATCTTTTCAAAGCTAGAGATACTTTTTAAATGGCGTTCCTTTGATTCTTATTAGTATCAGCTCAAACTAGAATGAAAACATGCAATTGCTTCATGTTAGGAGTTCATAATTTTTTTATTATTTATCTTTTTATTAAGACATGATTTCCTGTGTGTAAATGTATATTGTCAGGAGATTCTCCACCACCTTTCTGAAAAGATTATCAGAGGAAAAGTATGTTGGGGGGGGGGTTGTTTCTGTTTCAATGTTGCATCATTGGATCTCTTGTATGACATGCGACAAGAGGGCTGGATTCTAACCTGCTAAGTCTTTGATAATGAGGGAAAAACAGTAGGATGAAAGAAAGTTCTTAGCAATCTCAGTTCCATGGAGCACACTGGGGAATGCTGAGGTACAATTGTTTAGTTCACAGCTGGACCCCTTCCACCAAGAAAGGCTTCCAGCTGGTAGTTTTACTTGTTACCTGCTAACTAGGATCTTGTAGACAAATTGGTGGTCAGACCAATTAAAAAGAAATGGGGGGAGAGGGAGCTTTCATTCCCATTGATTCACACATCCAGCCTCACTGGCTTTTAAATATTTACTAGCCAACCGAGCACATTTTTAGCATTGATTAATGAGGTACAATCCACTGTGGTGCTTGCTTTCTCTGAGCACAGGAAAGGAGGGTGCGGGCTAGGACTATTCAAGCTAAAAGTATATTTCTGCCTGTGTTAGGCACAAGGGAAGGGGGTCACTTGAATATATGTATGTATTAAATGTGCCTTCTCAATATTTGACTTGTCCCTCTATGAAATGGCTAGATGGGATGCCTGTTTGCTCTTCTGCAGAGGCTCTTTGTCAGCTGCCTTCCCTCTGACATTAATGCAAAGCCAGACCTCATCAGCTGCTAACAGGGGAAACATCTGTCTTTCTTCGCTTGATCAATACTGTCCCTTCAGAAGCTGAGCCTTCAAAGCAGTTACATAAAATACCAGTAATATTTATTTGGATTTGATAAATTTAATTACTTGGGACAATTAATAATTTATCTCTGTAGTATTGATGGTGCTGCGAGGCATTTTGGTGAGATAAGCTAATGGTAATCGGCACCTCTTTATTAGCTGGAAATTGTGCATTGTTAAGGGGGGGAACTTCTGATGGATAGAAAGATGAAGTGTTTTAGTTGTTTTTACTGTCTTGTTCGTGTAGTAACTGTAGTGAGAGCCAGAGTCCACTACATCAATGAAGCTAGGGGGACAAAGCACGTGGCTAGATGGGGAGGTATGCATAAATGGAATGTCATCTCAGTTACTCACAAGTAGTAAGCCCTGATGCAATCCAATAAAAGGGGTTGGTTTCCAGTTCATCAGCAGTAATGCAGTGGCCTTTTAGTAAAGGTGACAAATCATGATTTTTTATGTGGTAGAGAGACATGCATGGAAAAGATGATGTCAAATGTTGTTGTATTGGCAAGCTTTAATTTCTTTATAGGTATAATTTAATATGCTCATAAATTCATATATTTTAAATATTAAAGCCAATTATAAATAATTATAATTATTTTTAAAAAGCTATTTTCTGATAGATTAAATTACAGCCAGTGAATACGTTTAGTATTGTTATAATTATTTTTAATTACTATAAATTTTATCCATCTATATGCCTTTGAGCACAGAATTGTTATTCATCTTAAAAAATAAATTGAATTCATTTTAACCTTACAATAACATAGGTAAGCTTTATAAAATGAAGACAATGTCTCTAGTACCTGAGGGTTTTTTTTAGAGAGGAACTGTGGTAGTTAATTTTCTTGTTCTTATTTCTTCTACTTGGTAGTACCCCATAAATCATAGCTTTTTCTCTTTTCTGTTAGCATCATTATTCAGTCAGGATACATATTTTAGCTGCAATCCTGTGTGTACTTATTTGGACTTAAATATTGGTCATAA